AGCCCCTCTCCCAGCACCCCCAGCTGCTGCTGCTTCTCTCCTCAGGCAGAAGTGCTCTGCCACTCAAAGTGACCATCCTCAGGGTCCTGCAGGGGACAGGGAAGAAGTCACTTTAAACAGCTCCAGGGAAGGCAGGAATGAGGGTCCCTTCCCTCCACAGCTCCCCCCAGGTTTCTCCAGCCCCAGAGATCATCAGCAGGTAACAGAAGAACCTGTGAGCTGCAGAAACAGCAGCTCCCAGGCACAGCAGAAATTCCAAGGGCTGTAAAGGCCTCTCACCTCTGTCCAGAAGCCCTGGTTATCCATGTCCAACGTCTGGATCCCCACTTCAGGGTCTCTCCTGTGCCAAAGGGCTCTTCCATCCTGCCAGCCCAGCCTCTTGGTCCCCAGGCACTGGGGAGGAGAGCACAGGGGCTGCAGCCCTACCTGGCCCCACAGAGCCCCTCAGCCCACCCCACCCAAGGCCCCGGCTGCTGGTGCAGCCCAGCAGACAGAACTTGCCCTCACCATGAGCACGACGGGCGCAGCGATGATGCAGAGGCCACCGATGGCCATGACGGCCACTCCGTAGGCTGGGAAGCCCGGCTGGGGCCTGGGAGGGTCCAGGGTGTCCTCTGGAGCAGAGCACAGCTTTTAGAGCCCGGGGCAGCCAGCTCTGCCCCACGGGGTGCCAGCCACCCCCTCTGCTCCAGGACAAACACAGGGGATTGCAGAACACCCGCTCCACGCCCTCCATGCCCTTTCCTCCCATCCCACACCAGTCCTGCAGCAGAAGGTCTCCAGCCCCACTGCCCCAGGCTATGCAGAGGGCCAGGGCACAGCTGCTGCTGGAATTTCACTTTCTGCTCAGCACACCAGCTAAGACAGCAGAGCCTCTCTGCACAGCAGGGGCCAGGATGGGCTCAGCTGTGGATCTGCTCTGCTCACAGTGGAGGCCTGGGGCCTGTGGAGCTCACAGAACCACGGCCCAGAGGGGAGCTCACCTCCCACAGACAGAGAGTGTGGATCCACCTGGATGTCAGAGCCAGCCAGAGCCTGCTTTGGCCCAACCGAGCGCACAAGTGTCTCCAGAACCTCCACGCTGGTGGGAGCGGGGTGACGGAAGATCACCTTCCCATGGCAGATCAAGGAGCCAGGCCTGCAGACAGGGTTGGGAG